GTGAGGTCCGGGCTGGGCTGCTGCGGTGGGCTGGCCAGGCTCTGCACCCCGCTGAAGCAGCTGTAGATGCCCTGGGCAGTAGGGAGACGACAGGCCGTGAGCAGCGCCCTCTGCTCAGGGACCCGCCACGATTGTCCCCGCCTGGTCCCAAGGCATCTTCAGCCTTCTCTAAGTCTCAGGAAGCAGCTAACTGGGAAGCATCTCCCATGTGCCAGGCACTGTGCTTTGCAGATGAATGAGTGGTCTGCGTGCCCAGGGTGACTCATTCTCCTAATCACTCTAGTTAGCACCTGACACATGAAGGTTCCAACCTGGGCACACCTGTGGGGGGAGGGCTCTGCCCCTCTTCAACCCTGCCACCCTGGTGAGCCATGCCACCTCAGGACTTTGGGTTTGTTTTTTGTTTAGACACAGGGTCTCACTCTGCTGCCCAGGCCAGAGTGCAGTGGCGCCATCTCGGCTCACTGCAACCTCTGCTTCCTGGGCTCAAGTGATCCTCCCAACTCAGCCTCCTGAGTAGCTGGGACTGCAGGCGCGCACCACCACGCCCAGCTCATTCTTTTATTTTCTGTAGAGATGGGGTTTTGCCATGTTGCCCAGGCTGGTCTCGAACTTCTGGACTCAAGGGATCCACTGGCCTTAAGCCTCTCAAAGTGTTGAGATTACAGGCATGAGCCACGAGCCCGGCCAGAACCTTGGTTTTACCTCTGGAAATGGGCCATGGCCAGCCTGGACTTATCTGGGTAGGTGCCCTTAAAGCTTTGGCTTGTGTGGGGAGGGATGGGCACCCACCCTGCTGAAAGCCAGCAGGAAGTCCAGCTGGGATGTGTTGGGCACCGAGTGGCGCAGCTTCCAGTAGACCAGGTGCTCCCAGGCGAAGACCAGCAGGGCCAGCCCCATGGCCACCAGCAGCATGTAGAAGACACCTGCCATGTTGTCGATGTCCAGCTTGCTGCTCATCACCTCGTTCTTCTCATTCTGGCAGATCCCCGAGAGCCACACTGTCTCCAGTTTCTGTGTCTCTCCTGGAGTTGAGCGGGGATACACATCTGGCTCAGGAAACCCCCCTATAAGCAACCCCCTTACAAAGCTCAACACAAGCCTGGAGTAAGAATGGATCTGGGGCCAGGGCGCCACCCACTTCTTCCTCAAGCAGACCACATGGGGATCTAGCCTGGCCGGGGCAGGGTGGTGGGGCGGGGAGTTGGAGGGTCAGTGAGCAAGGAAATAGGAAAGCAGGGTGCAGACTGGAGTGGGCAATGCTGGCCTTTGGGTCCTCCCCCTGTGCACCCCCAGTAAAGGCTTGTTGATTGGGTAAATGTTAACATTCATTCATTCACTCATCTTCATATACTTATTAACCATCTATATGCCACTCATGGAGCTGGGCACACAGAGACAAAAGGCCTAGGCTCCTAAGAGACACGCATTGTGATCGCTCTTATTATTATTATTATTATTGAGACAGTCATGCTCTGTCACCCAGGCTGGAGTGCAGTGGTGTGATCATGGCTCACTGCAGCCTGGATCTCCTAGTTCAAGTGATCCTTCCACCTCAGCCTCCTGAGTAGCTGGGACTACAGGCGCACCTCCACACCTGGCTAATTTTTGTATCTTTTGTAGAGAGAGGGTATCCCCATGTTGTCCAGGCTGATCCCGATCTCCTAGACTTAAGCAGTCCTCACACCTTGGCCTCCCAAAGTGCTGGGATTACAGGTATGGGCCACCTCACCTGGCCACTCTCATTATTATATGGTTTGAAAAATCAGATTTTTTTTTTTTTTTTTTTTTTTTTTTTTTGGTCTCACAGAGCAATTTAATATTTAAATTTTACAGAAAACCA